ACACAAGATCTAAATAAGATCTGTTTGGCTCAATTAAAGTTTGAAGAGTACAAGAGAGTGTTTTGAGTACAAGTAAAATGACGCTAAGTTCGTTACCCTCTACTCTACGTACTTACCCTATTTATAGGGTACAACAGACTAACAAAAAAATACAAGGACTAGACATTTAGTATCGAAACTAAACTGCCTTGTAAATAGATAATGTATCGAAACCATACTGCTTTCGAAACTTTACAGACTCTGACTACTTTCGACTTCTCACTATATACATTCGACCCAACTACTTAGCTTTTCCTTTGATGTGACCTAGGTTCATATCACTAAGTTTTAGTCTTATATTCCTGGCGACTAATGATAGTCTAGATTCCTCACTAATCCTAATGTGTACATCAAGATCTATCAAGTAAGGAACAACCAAGTAGAATCATATCGGAGGTAGGGTCTGTTTGGTATACATAGTATACTGTTTAGAAATACCACTTTAAACACCTCACTAAATCCAGCCTAGACATTATCTTCGTAAGTAGATCAATCAGTATAATGACTTGGAATCACTGATAGATCTTATCTATAGGTTCATAATAACGACTATGAACATAAATATAAGTTACACTTGAAATAAAATAAGTGTAGATTAACTTATAGAGATTTTACCGAAAACCAGGAAATTACGCGGGCAGAATCCCAACCCGAAAGCTTTTATTTGTCGGAACCTCTGACACACTAGTGCCCCGCTACTGACCAATGAAAACCCCTAAAATTTGACCTAAAGAAATCTGGAGGTTTTAGAGAGTGTAGGAAGATTTTTGTGTGAAAAAACAGAAGGACTATTTATACTGCCAGACGTGCGCGTCGCGCATGGCCAAGAGGTGCATCGCGCACGCGGGCCCTGCTGGCTCTTCTCCCCTTTCGCCATGTGTCCGATTTCCCTTGGGCTACCTCCTATTCTTATTGAACATGTCACATGTCATCTTATTATGGCACCACGTGTCATGACCACGTGGTGCCATGTCATCGTGTCTCTTGGAGGAATGGGCGGTCGACCATGCCACGTGGCGCCACCAGGTGGTGCCATGTCATCAGCCTAGGCAGTTTCTTGCAGATCTTCAGAAGAACATAATTTTCACATACGAACTCTGTTTTTGACGTTTTTATATCCTAGTAATCCTCTCGACGAGATCTACAACTTTTAGTAAGGTCCCATTAACTAATTCTGGATCTAACTAAAATTCATATTTAGATCGATTTAGACTGTTAAAGTCCGTGTGAAATTCATAACTCCTTCATACGAACTATGTTCCCGACTCTCTTTATATCGACATTTTCATATTCACAAGATCTTTAATTCTCATTTAGATTGTTTTTGTTAACAATCAACCGATTTGAATTTCGATTTCTGTGTCCGCACTGTTATGCTGAAACTTCGAAAAATCATAACTTCCTCTCATGAAGTCAGATTTCGACTTTCTTTATATGCATGGTCTCGGTTTTACAACTACTACGAATTTCATTTAGATTTCTTAGGCTAATAAGAAACCTATCTAAAATTCACTTTTTATGACACGCGTATCCCTGCCGGTTTAATCGTGAAACTTCGAAGAAGCATAACTTCTTCATACGAAGTTGGATTTTAGAGTTCTTTATATGTGCGGAATCCTTGTCATATACTATAACTTTGGTTAAGGTTATTTATCCTAAATAACCTTCTATCAAAATGTTGTTTTTATCGCTTATTATATCTTAATCGTCTAACCCGAATCTATGGGCGTTACAAGATGCTCATTGAGGATGCTCATGGAAGATGCTCATAGACTATGCTCATAGATGATGCTCATGGTCGATATACTTGAGGTTGAAGATTCCAGAAGTTACTGCATGGCGGATTATGATTGGTTAATTCCATTCATTGGCATATGGGCCTATGAGTTTGGCTCATAGTGGTTTTAGGTTTGATCCATTCACTATAAATAGGGATGTCTGGTAGTTATTTATGTGTGTCTTTATATGAACACTCTCAGTTTTACAATTACTACGACTTTCGTTTAGATTTCTTAGGCTAATAAGCAAACTATCTAAAATTCACTTAGGACACGCGTAGCCGTGCCGGCTTAATCGCAAAATTTTGAAGAAGCATAAAATTTTCATACGAAGTCAGATTTCAGAGTTCTTTATATGTGCAGAATCCTTGCCCATATACATAAATTTGGTTAAGGTTATTTATCCTAAATACGCTTCTATCAAAATGTCGTTTTTATCGCTTATTATATCTTAATCATCTAGCTCGGACCTGCGGGCGTTACAAGATGCTCATCGATGATGCTCATAGACGATGCTCATCGATGATGCTCATGGTCGATACTCTTGAGGTTGAAGATTCAAAAAGTTACTGCATGGAGGATTTTGATTGGTTGGTTCCATTCATGGGCCTATGGGCCTATGAGATTGGATCATAATGGTTTTAGGTTTGATCCCTTCACTATAAATAGGGATGCCTGCTAGTCATTTGTGTGTGTCTTTATATGCATGCTCTTGTTTTTACTATTACTACGACTTGCGTTTAGATTTCTTAGGCTAATAAACAACTTATCTAAAGTTCACTTTTTACGACACATGTAGTTGTGCCAGTTTAATTGTGAAACTTCGAAGAAGCATAACTTCTTCATACGAAGTCGGATTTCAGAGTTCTTTGTGCAAAATCGTTGTCACATATACTATAACTTTGGATAAGGTTATTTATCCTAATTCTTAAATAACATTCTATCAAAATGTCGTTTTTATCGCTTATTATATCTTAAGGGAAAATGACACATACGGCATATGAAGTTTCTAGGGTTTACCCTTTTAGTCACTAAACTTTTTAGTGGCTTTATGAGGGAACGAATTGTGTTGCAACCTAGCAATTTAGTCCCTTTAACTTATTATACCCAGTAACCATGCCACATCGTCCCAATTTGACATATCATCGATGACATGGCGACATTGTATTTAAGTATTGGACCCAAACGACGTCGTTTTGGAATGTGAAACATAGAGGCCAAGTTCACACTGTACACCTGCCTCCGTATAAAATGTGAAGCTTGTGCCCTAAAATGGCACAATTCATAACCTGGTTACCCCGACTGCACCTAAACTTCGATACCAAATGCAGAAACGATGCCTTCACGATCATCTCAAGATCACAGTTGGTCACCCAACTACAATCGGCACATGGCTGAAAATGTCTCGAATTGAGTCACAAATGAAGACCTGGCGATCAATCTGTTGCATATATAGTTGGAGGTGTCGCTTGTGAGGGAAGAGATTACAAACGACCTTCGTGAACTACGACGCAACCTCACTAGAGAGATGGACGCCCTAAATCATGAAGTCGATGATGTTAGGGCAGGTCAACTCGATCTATCTAACATGGTTGCTGATTTGAAGAATCGTTTCAGTTCAATGCAAGCGTCGTATGTTAACATTGTTTTGGGAAAAAAGAAGTCGAATAAACTGAAATGGGTCTTTGGGGTTTTTGTCGTTGCTGTTGTGGGGGTTTTAAGCTACATGTTTTTTAAATGACAGAATAACTTTAGGTTAAACATTTCAATCCTGGGGTTCTATTTTGTTTTGATGTGCATCTTGTTTATTCTCCTTATTAGTAACAAGTTTTTTTGGTTGTCTTTTGGTTTCTAGTTGTAGTATTTGGTGGTTTTGTGATCATGATGTTGTGATGATCAGTATTTTGATGGTAGTCACAGGTGATGGTTGTCGTATGTACTTAGGTAGTTGTGGAAATTCTGTTATAACTAGTTCAATATATGTAAAGATGCAGAAACACATGAATGAAATGTTGATTAAGTTAACTTGTTCTTGTTATAAATTGAGTACTCTTATAAATGTAAATGTGCATGTGTCGTGAAGTAGTAGGCATTTTTTATGTTGATTTTGTTCTTGGGACCACATGAAACAGTCAAACGTTTTATACCATTAAAACATGAACCCCAATGTTTGTTTGTGGGGACATGGGGCAAAAGAGAAGAATCTAATACCCAGATTTGTCGTTGTCTATACCCCGAAATGGAAAACAATGAAAAGTGGTTTTTTGTTGTATTTGTGATTGCCCACTTTGAATAATTGCCTGGAAAAAATGAAGGGAAGAAATGAAATACCCCTAATGGGTTAAGTCAAATAATAAAGTTATGACTAAAATACCCCTAGTGGGTTAAGTGACATAATAAATATTGACTGAAATACCCCTACTGGGTTAAGTCACATAATAAAAATTGCCTCTAATACCCCTGATGGGTTTATTAAAATAAAAAATAATGACAAAAATACCCCTAGTTCTTTAACTAATTAAAATGACAGATTTACCCCTAAACTAACATTCACATGCCCTTTCTTACCAATTAAAATGAGACTAATACACCTAGGGGGATTGTATGTAATTTAACTTCTTCGATTGACTAAAATACCCCTACTTTAATAAGTACATGAAATACCATACACCTATTGTATTAACTGATTGAAATGACTAAAATACCCCTACTTTAATAATAACATGAAGTACCATACACCTATTCTATTAACTGATTCAAATTACTAAATTACCCCTACTTTAATAATAACATGAAATACCATACGCCTATTGTATGAAATGATTCAAATGACCAAAATACCCCTACTTTAATAATAACATGAAATACCATACACCTATTGTATTAACTTATTCAAATGACCAAAATACCCCTACTTTAATAATAACATGAAATACCATACACCTATTCTATTAACTTATTCAAATTACTAAATTACCCCTAAACTAACGTTGACATGCCCTCCTGAAAAAATGTTAATGACTAAAATACCCCGTACACACTAATATAAAAAAGACCATACATATTATAAATACAAACACGCATCCAAATATCAAACGTTAAGATTGTTATAACATACATCAACATAGCAAACATAAATTCCCTTGTTCAATCCACATAACAGACACATAATTAGAAGTGTAATTAATCTAACTCCATTGGCGATCCAACACTACTACCTTCACCTTCAACTCTTTTAGCAAGCTTTAGTTTAAGAATTCTCTCTGACTTTTTCCTCTTGCTTGGTTGACCCGTAGTATTCACTTTCCTAACAACTTGATTAACCCTGACCAGTTCCTCAGCTTCATTAACCCTCACCACTTGCTCAGATTCGTTTACCCTCATAACTTCATCAGTTTGTGGCTTAAGTGCATCACCCATAACAACATCTTCTCCACCCCCTTGCATATTTACTGATTCTTGTGTTTGCATGATTTTTTGTTTCTTTGTGACATTAGTTTTAGGTGGCCTTGGCACTTGAGTGCAAGTGGTCTTTTTATGCCCTTTCTCTTTGCATATGCCACAAGAAACCTTTTTTCCTGCCTTTGAGACAGTGTATTTTCTAGACATTTCAGAAGCATCCCTTATTCTTTTGACTTTTGGCCTGCCTGGCATTCTTCTTCTTAAAGGAGGAAATGGAGGTGTAAAGGTTGTTGAAGGCCACATGTTCATCCCATTCATGCCACTAATAGACTTTTTGTAAGTATTATGGAAGAAGGCTGCCAGGTACAAAGGGTCTACATATGGCCCATCAGGTGTTACGTTTAAAAACGCTAATGTAGCTACTGAATGAACACAAACATACCCATTTAGTTGCCATAACCTACAACTGCATTCCTTTTTTGTGACATCGACAATGTATGACTCATCCATATTCCGTGTTTCAAACTTCATACTCCCACAAGACACAACCTGCCAATGCCTACATAAAGTAATGCAAGTTTTAGAGTTGACAGAGGTAAGTTATGTATGAAATAAAAGTGTGCATACCTTTGCTCATTTTGGAGAATATTTAATTTTGTTCTGATGTTTGGACAAACAGAATAACGATTCCATCCTTGACCTGTGAGTTTCATAGTGACCATCCTTTGCATCACATATATATGAATGTCCTCCAACATGCTGATAATAGGTTTCTTCCTAACATCCAAAATGACACTATTAAAGCTCTTTGAAAAGCCATTCTCTACATATCCACATGATTGGTGAACTCTAAAAAAAGCTAGAGACCAAGTCTTTGGATCTCTATCCATAAGATGCTTAACCGCTTCAGGATTCAACTTTTCAATATCTTTCATGGTTGTGTTAAAATGTGCTTCAGTTGTTGCCTTGCTTGCTCTCCAAAACAAATTTTCAAACTTGGCTCTACTAAACCTCTTTCTAAAATTAGCATATATATGCCTAGCACACTGCCTATGTTCTGCTGCTGGGAATACTTCTTTGACTACCTCAACCAAACCCTGCATATGTACCGGTAATAGGTGAAGTTAGAAATGTAAATATTTATTATATTATTTATTATACTATGTTAAATACTTTACAAACATACCTTGTGTTGATCAGAAATTAAGACCAAATCACTTCCATCATTCCAACATTGCAAATCTTCTGCAAGATTTTCAATGAACCATTTCCAATTCTCCTTGTTTTCCACACATACAACTGCCCAAGCAATTGGGAATATTCCATTGTTAGCATCCCTACTAACAGTACACAGCAACTCACTTTGGCAAAAAGTTTTCAAGAAACAACCTTCTAAGTTAATGATCCGTCTACACCCTCCACGCCACCATTCTTTGACTGCATCAAAACATATGTAAATCTTTATGAAGTAATTTTTACCATCAGGCATTGTATCCACATAAATTTTAACAGTGGATCAAGGATTTGATCTTTTAATCTCATCACCGTAAGACCATATTCTAGCATAATTTTCTGCAACCGTGCCTTCAACTAGACTTAATGCATACTTTTTGGCTCTCCTACACTGACTCATACTTACAACAATGCCAAAAGTGGTTTTCACCTCCTCTTTTAGTAATCTCACACTCATCTTCTGATTGTTGAAAAATTATTAGGTAAAGTGGGTACCTATCCATCTATAAGTTACAATTGATATGGATTTGAAATTCTTTGAACAATTGTGCTCACTAATAAGAGACTAAATTTGGAAAGACTTATCATCACCCATCCATGAACCCCAAACCTTAAATGTACATTTTCCATCACAACATTTGGCTAGCAACCGTCTACTATCCTTTTTCACAAAACATAATTGATAACCATTTGCAACAACATAGTTACAGAGCATGTGTTTCAATTGTTTAGGACTCTCAAACCTCATACCTAACACAAGTTCCTGCTCCTTCCAGTGAAGCTTTTCATCGAAAATGTTTGGCAACTGAGGATAAACATCTTCATCCTCATCCATGGCTTCTTCCAAAGGGCCCCCCAAAGCTACATTGTCACCCATTTCGACATCAGGGCCATTATCCTTTTTGATAAAAATGAGGGCTGCTATGGTTATCCTCATCTTCATCAGCATCCACATCCTCAGTCCCATGGTCATCCTTATCCTCATCCTCATCTTCATTTTCATTTTCATCCTCATCATCCAAATGGCATGTCACAATTTCTTTAACTAGTACTGCACCATCAAGAACTTTTTCCACTATGTTATGAACTACCTCTTCTTTGTGTTCTTCCAACCATTCCTGCATGTTAGTATTACCAAAATGGTCTACATATATAGGTAGTATAACACCACATTCATACGCTATTGCTATAAAATCGATATAATCCAACTCATTCGAAATTAAGGTCAGACCTTTGGGAAAATGAATATCTGGTTGGCAGTAATAGAGCTTCGCACACTTTTCTCCGGTGAACCTTTCGATAAATTCATAACACCCGATCTTGTCCATGCCTGCGAAATCGATGTTCGATAACCTCTGAGTAATCCCCCCGGTGTAGCGGATGGGGTATTTTGTAAAGATTCCTTGGAAATGCACATCGACTTGGATGAATACGGGATCCATGTTTGAGGTTTGAGGGGACAGAACGAAAGTAAGGGTTTATCGAACAAGCTGGAAGTGGTGAATGGTGAACAGTAGACGGGAAAAGATCTCATTTAAGTTAAACTATTAGTAAATGACATGGCATACACAGTCATCAAGGCAAGAGGTTTACGTAACACATGTGGCAGGAATATGACCGGATGACCCCTTCACAATTGACATAATGACGTAATTGACCCGACAAAATAAAGTTCGTACCCTCATAAAGCCACTAAAAAAGTTTAGTGACTAAAATGGTAAACCCTAGAAAGTTCATATGTTATATGTGTTATTTTCCCTATATCGTAATTGTCTAGCCTGAATCTAATGGCATTACAAGATGCTCATCGACGATGCTCATGGAAGATGCTCATCGATGATGCTCATGGAAGATGTTCATAGACAAAATAAAGTTCGTTCCCTCATAAAGCCACTAAAAAAGTTTAGTGACTAAAATGGTAAACCCTAGAAAGTTCATAGGCTATATGTGTCATTTTCCCTATATCGTAATTGTCTAGCCCGAATCTAATGGCATTACAAGATGCTCATCGATGATGCTCATGGAAGATGTTCATAGACGATGCTCATCGATGATGCTCATGGTTGATACTCTTGAGGTTGAAGATTCCAGAAGTTACTACATGGCGGATTGTGATTGGTTGATTCTGTTCATGGGCCTATGGGCTTATAAGTTTGGCTCATTAGGGTTTAAGGTCTGATCCCTTCACTATAAATAGGGATGCCTACTAGTCATTTGTGTGTGTCTTTAATTGTAGAGTGATAGACAAATCTCTATTGAATTGTATTTGTAACCTCTGTCTGAGAACTCATAAATAAAGAATACCCCCCTCCTGCCCATGGACGTAGGTCACATTGACCGAACTACATAAATATTGTGTCTTGTGTGCTTTTTGGTTTTGCTTGTTCTTCGCATTACTTCCTAACATGTGGTATCAGAGCTTGGCAAGTGGCATCAAATTTGTTCTGATTTCCTAACAATATATATATATATATATATATATATATATATATATATATATATATATATATATGGTACTGAACTCTTTCTTCTCGGTTTGTCAATTTTATTTACGTTCCCACTTCTCTATTTTACATTGCACTAGGCTATAGGGAGTGGGGAAGGCAAAAGTTTTGACAAGGATGAGGTGGAGGAAGGAGGCAGCTGAGGTCTCTCTCTCTCTCTCTCTCTCTCTCTCTCTCTCTCTCTCTCTCTCTCTCCGGAAGAACACTGTCACATAGTCTCTCTCTTCGGCAAAGGGGAGAAGATGAGGTTGAGGGGTAGGGGCCTTCAAAACCCTAAACACGATACTCTCTAGCTTTAAAGAGGACAAGAGAACACAATAGTATAGGATCCCTTAGAGCCACTTTTATCAGTTTCATGTCTTAATTTCAAGTCGCCTCACTAACAAGAGTTTCATTTATTCAAAACTTGCCTCAATGTTAAGTACTTCAGATCACAAATTTAAACTTAAAACCATGTCAAGCATTTTAAAAATTGTCCAAAACATATTTTAATACTTTCTTTGTTAATTATATATTATTGTTATAACAAAATATATATTTCGATATTTTAAAATTATCACTTCCTCATCAAAACAAACGTTTGGATTATCACTTCCTTATTAAAACAAACATGTAGAAACTTCGACTAAAAATATTTTATCTTAAAGTGAAGAATCTAAGATACAACTTGATTTGTACATCTGCATCAAGAATCCTTTCCGTTTATCACAAATTTTAAACAAATTAATAGGTTAATGTCATAACAAACCACTTTGTCATCGGTTTTGATATGCAATTGAACCAGAGACTAAAATGGTGTTAATCAGACAAAAACTGGAACTTTTGTCCCACCCAAAAAGGTGGAACAAGATAGGAAAGAAGCTTGCTCTGTTTGTGGTGCATGCAAAAGATGTGAATGCCCTCATCATCATCCATGTCATCGAAAATAGCAGTAGTAACTTTTCCAGTCCCATTCAATTCTGTCCAATGCAGCAAACGCAATCTTAAGAATGTCACAATAGCATGCTAACTCAAAAAGTAGCAAATTCGATCCTAGGTTTTAATGGCACCCTCCAAATAACATTATACATTTCGCAAGTACAACAAAAATTTGAAGATATAATCACTAGCAATAGATATTTTGAACAAATCGATAGAGCAGCAAACGAATATATCTATCAACAAATGGAAGTTTAAAACCTCACTCACCAAGCAATAAATATAATCAATTATAATATAATGACCACAAAACCGAAAATTAGGATAAAACACAAAAACCAAAGAGAGAACATAGCGGTGGTGGTGGTGACAAGTTACTAGAAACGATGATTACCTTCTTGTTTGTTAACAACTCCACATGTCCATGTCTGCTTTTCTTACTTCACATGAAACATAACAAGAAAAATAAAGATTATAATAACAAAAACAAACTCAACCATCAAAAGCAACAAAATACGTTCTTACTACTTACTACTTAGAAGCATTTCCTATGGACGATAGATGGACCAGATTCGTCATACTCTCCCTTGGCAATCCACAACTGATTTACACACAAGAAAAGTAAGTTGGTCAAATACTTTTTACGAAAAATTATGAAAATAGCAGCGTACTTTTCTCCTTTTTACTAAATATTGGGTATGTACTTCATTCTTCCCCATAATAGCAATGCACTAAAATTTCTTTACCCATAGTAACAATATGTACCAAGTGAATTACATTATTTGTATTGGTAGCAAATGTAAGTACGTTGTTAATGTTAGTAAAAAAAAAAATAAAGTAACGTTGCTATAATCAATAAACGAAAATTGAAGTACAATGTTATTTATGGGTAAAAGAATACAAGTATTTTGCTAATATGCGTATAGATTAAAGTATGTTGCCCGTATTGGTAATGAATGTGAAGTATGTTGTTTTTCCAATATTCCTTGCAATGTACATACATTTCTTTAGCCATAATAGCAATGTACTTAGAATTTTTATCGATGATAGTAATATTCAACCATAATAGCAACATACCTATATTTTTTTTACACAAATAACAACCCACTTACAATTCGTTACCCATAATAGCATCGTAGTTACATTTAAATACTCATACAAAGAATACGTACCAACGACCATGCGACTACTATTGGTAAAAAAATTAAAGCAACTTTACTATTATCTGTAAAAAATGTAAGTACATTGCTACATGGGTAAAAGAATATATATATATATATATATATATATATATATATATATATATATATATATATATATCTATTATGCGTAATGAATAAAGTAAATTGCCATATCAGTGATGAAAGTATGAAACTAAACTAGGTTCCCTGCAATTTGGCCTATTTTTTTAAAACATCATTGTACCGGACAACACTTAATGGGGCAAGGACTTAACCCCAGTAAGCTTTATACAGATGTTTTTTTTTTTTTTTTTTTTTTACTTTATGCAGAAAGAAAACGACTTTAAACATCATTTATTTATCCAGACAGACAACACTTTATCAGGGTTTTAATTTACCTGTTGGAAGGTGCTGAGAGATGCAAGGATTGATCCTCCGATCCAGACACTGTATTTCCTCTCCGGGGGTGCAACCACCTTAATCTTCATGCTACTAGGAGCAAGGGCAGTGATTTCCTTGCTCATCCGGTCAGCAATGCCCGGGAACATGGTTGACCCACCACTAAGCACAATATTTCCATAAAGATCCTTCCTGATATCAACATCACACTTCATGATAGATTTGTAGGTCATCTCATGAATACCAGCAGCTTCCATTCCAATGAGAGATGGCTGGAAGAGAATCTCTGGGCAGCGGAATCTCTCTGCCCCAATCGTGATAACCTGTCCGTCGGGCAGCTCATAGTTCTTTTCAACAGAGGCACTCGCACTACTTTTTGCAGTTTCGAGTTGTTGCTCGTAATCAAGAGCCACATATGTAAGCTTGTCTTTAATGTCACGGACAACTTCCCGTTCGGCAGTAGTGGTGAAAGCGTGGCCTCTTTCGATCAGGATTCTCGTTAGGTAATCTGTGATGTCACGGCCAGCGAGATCAAGACGGCGGATGGTGTGAGGAAATGCGTACCCTTCGTAAATTGGGATCATGTGGGATACACCCTCTCCGGAATCCAACACGATGCCTGTGAGAAATATTATTGTTGACATTTATCCCACACAGATGGATAAAAAAAAAAAAAAGGTGGAGAGTGTTCATGCCAGTAAAAAGGGTCCAAGGCTTTAGTTTTGAAAAATACATTTTAAGGGTCAATTTGGTTGGCTTAGGCGGGGACTAGTCTAGTCGGATTACCTAAATAAGAAAGGAACTAATTTTAGGAAAATCAAATATGACCAATATCATAACAAAACAAGTGAATAACAAGATCAAAACAAAATGTCAAGTATTCAGCAACGACTTCAAGTCTTTATCACCATAATAAGTTTAAAAAATGTTAGAATATTAGGTTGCTCTGCGCCTTCTCCCTCTTCTTTAATGATATAAACGTCATATGATTTGTTACTATCCACATCAGCCGAAAGTAAATTAAGTTGGTGACTTAAAAATCTGGGTGTCCCTTCCACCTAAAGGCTTTTGGGAGTGAGTTCTACACTTAGGTTTATGGCTTGCTACAGGCCTAGTATGGATGGGGACGTATCAGAAATTTTCATTCAATTCCATGATGGAATGAAATGAAAACGTCACTTGACTAAGGAATGGAAATCAGCATAATGGAAAGAATCACATTACTTCATGATGGTCCATTCAGTGGGCAAAACAAGCATGTTTTTTTTCCAATTCCAATGGAATGAACCATTCCATTCCAATGATGGTTCCATCATACCAAATGCTACATAAGTAACTTACTTGTATTTGAGTGTAAAAAGGTGTGAGTTAAACTTTTAGAAAGTGTGGCTGCGATTGAGAGTTTGCTTGAGAGAATAGACATTAGTCTGTTTGATTGTTACAATTTCTCATCCATTTAGGTCTATTATTTTCTCCGGTTTTGCAGTTCTCCACGTATATTTTTGTATTCTTATTTTTCTATTATTTTTCATTGGAAGGGCTGTTGCAAATCTTTACTACCATTTTCCCAATACCAAAATGCAAACATAGTTGAAAACAAAAGAGTAATGTGAAACTAACCAGTTGTGCGGCCACTCGCATACAAAGAAAGCACGGCCCCGATTGAAATGTACATGGCGGGAACATTGAAGGTCTCAAACATGGCTTCAGTCATCTTCTCTCTGTTTGCCTTGGGATTTAATGGTGCCTCAGTAAGAAGCACAGGGTGCTCTTCAGGAGCAACACGAAGCTCATTATAGAAAGTGTGATGCCAAATCTTTTCCATATCGTCCCAGTTGCTGACAACACCATGCTCAATTGGGTATTTCAAAGTCAAAACACCACTTTTCCACATGGCTTCATCTCCTAAATAAGCATCCTTCTGGTTCATGCCCACCATAACACCAATGTGTCGTGGCCTACCCACAATATTGGGGAACACTGCCCTAGGAGCATTATCACCAGAAAACCCTGCCTATAAATTTAATCAATGAACAAAAAAAGTCCAATTTAAGTAACCTTTTACCTAATTAATGCAACAAATATATTTTTTAGACAAAATACGCAACGTTTCATTCTAAGAGCAAAATATGCAACATGATAAACAGGGTACCTCATGACTTGGCACCAGTTAAATGCTTATTTATTTATAAAATGTTTCACCTTTTTACTATTTAATGCAATAATCTATGACTTTTTTTTTATCACTTTATGCAACTAACACGAATTAGCAACCACCTTTTAGCCTGTTCTAGGTAAAATATTGTATTTTTTGGAGATAGATAGAAACACTGTTGCGTATTTCATCTAAAAACTAATTTCTTGCATAATCGAGAAAAACTATGATTTTTCATTACTTAAACAAGCATTTATCCCTTATTTAAATTCAAAGTACGAGAATCCAACCAACTCCAGAAAGTTTCATATGACTAGGAAATAGCAACATACGAATTATGCTAACCTTCACCATTCCAGATCCAATGTCAAAAACAAGGGGCTGAATCTCCTCAGAGTCTGACATTTCTATAAACCTGCAACAGAAACATCAAAATACTATGAATTTAGAAAACAAGATTTTTGTATCCCAACTATTTTCCAGTAGTCCTTAGCTTATTTTGCAAGAAATACGCAAAAAAATCCCAGTAATATCCGCTGGATATTTTCCTATTATTCTCATATGGTCAAAAGAACTTCAAACTAACTCCCACCAAACAAATCAAAGTTACCAAGTACTACCATATAGATTTTGATGACCATCTCAACGGATCCTCACATATTTAATAAATTTTGTGAAATCGAGAATGCAATTCAAACAGAACAAAACCTCAAGATATCTGCACTACAATAAATCTTTTTCACAAATCTTTGGGGTCCTAGGCAGCAAAGTGAAAAAGGTATGGAAATTAATAAACAATTATTAGAATTATAAAAAACTGTAATGAAAAACGTCTTTACACTCACAAGCTTATTTGACTTACTAATAAACTCCATTGTGAACGTCTAAATTCTACACGTCACTCATCTTACACAGTTCAGAATCAAATCAGTCAATCATAACAACCAACTGACCAGATTTACCAATAAAAAACAGATATTGTTCGCTATACTGTGAGATATCAAAAAATAACGATTTCAGTTGCATTTAAAGAGAAGATTCGATACGGATCCTTACTGAATGTCAAGAGACACAGATCGGAAATTAAAAACGAAAAACACATTAAAATTGCAAGATAATCGCAGCAAACCTTTACTGTTACAGATGGAAGAGAAGCAGCATAAAGCAACCTCCAATTGCCGGCAGCTCAAATCCTAGGCTCCGGTGTGGTTTGGTCCGTTCGGTGGAGAAGGTCATCGTAAGATGGAAGGTTGACTTATGGAATTAATTAGGAAGTATTAGGTAGAAGAACATTTAAAAAAACAAATCATGCTACTTAATGATTATATATATATATATATATATATATATATATATATATATATATATATAGTTTGCTGATTCTATATAGAGAAAATTGTAAATTTAGCCAAAAACCCTAATTACTTTGTGAAAAATAGCAAAAAAAAAGACCGAAGTTGCAAAAATAATCATCAGGTTCGTAGATGGTTAGGCTATGTTTAGGCTATGTTCGCAGATGGAAGAGAAGCAGCATAAAGCAACCTCCAAGTTGCTAAAGAACAGTCTGTGCTTCAGCTTCTTGTACATTCGTAAATGGACTAGTCCATCTGCAAACATAGCTAGCCATCTGCGAACCAAGCCCTGCCCAACTATAAAAACGTTTTTTTTTGTTCATTTTTCACTCTTTTTTGTTAGAAAACTTTCGGGAAGCGATTTTCTTACCCCATCTGCAATTATGGACGATTTCATGAACAATCCCGATAATATGGTAAGATCTTTACCTGTTTTGTGTTTTAATCATCATTTATCAATTTAGGCCTTATTATTCTATTATTTATTCCAAAAAAATTATAAAAAAACAAAACTTTATTGTGTTTTATTATTGTATTTTTTTAGATTTATATGTTATATTTGATAGTTAGTAGATTTTATTAGTAGCTTTGAGGTTTTGATGGTATTTAATAAGTAGATGTATGATTGTACAAGTGTGTACTGCGTAAATTGTGCATTATGTGGTTGTATATTTTTGTTAATATGTTTAATAATATGAAATTTTTGATATACTAATTATTATTGCTACTTGATGATGTTGTACCTTTGCATTTTGATATTGTACATGTTGTACATATAGTTTATCAAAAAATGTTTTTTTTAATTGGTATTGTTATAAAAAATGCTTATAAATATGTTGCTTATAAATAGATATTTGGTTTATTTTGTGATTTAAATTGGATTATTTATCCTGCTTATAAATAGATATTTCGGTTATTTTGTGATTTAAATTGCGGAATTTTTGCCGAATTTTTTAAAATATAATAGTTTTTAACTTGTTGAGTTTTTTGTTACAATAATATAATTTGTAACAATACAACATGATTATAGAAATCTAAATGTTAAAGCTGTTGTCAACTTAAAAGGATCAGGATGTAATATATGGTAAATATTTGAAGTATTTCATTGAGAGCGACGTGAAATTTTTAGAAACACTGTTTTTGGTTACTTGTTGGATGTTGCTCAATTACAAGAGGACGGGTTGCTGTTTTATAAGATGTTTCTTCATCAGTTACGGTCGGATGCAGTAGTATCCCCAGATGGCATAAAGCGGTTGTATTTTAAATTGGGGGATACTAAAATGGTTTATGGCCTGGAAGAGTTTTGTTTGATAACCGGGTTTAATTTTGGAGAGTATCCAAAAATGATTAGAAAAAAAGTTTCAGAAAAAAAAATTTAGTAGTCAAAAAAGATGTTTATTGTGGGAACGTCTCTTTCCGAACCACACTAATAGTTCGGTGAAAATCTGTGATTTGAAAAATTATATTTTAAATCAGCCATTATTAGCAGCTATCGACGATGATGCAGTTTGAGCATGTCTGATATACGTTGTGTGTGAAGGCTTTTTGGGAAAAGAAGCAAATGATCGTGTGCCACAAGACTGGTTTTTTTTTGCTGAGAACTTGGATAAGTGGAACATGTATTATTTGTTGACTTTGAAAGTTTTATATTTTTTTTGATAATTTTTATTATAATTAAAAATATTTTATTGTAGTTTTGCTTGGGGTAACTATTTATGGGACTTCACCTACGACGACCTTGAGGATACATAGAACAAGATCAATAAATATTTATCACTACCCGAGCCTCGTCAACCTTTCAAGTATTCCGTGTCAGGATTTACGGTGTCATTCGGGGTATACAAATATACAATTATTTTTAAGATATAACAAGTATTTTAGTTGTTATAATTGTTATTAATATAATTGCTAAAATTATAGATATGGGTGTATGAGATGCTTCCATTTGTTCGAGGTGGTGGTTTTGCGTTACAAAAAAACAAAGAAACACCTCGGATGAAACGATGGAGTGCAACCAGAAAATTGAAATGGGTTGATGTGAACAAGATTTTTGATATGACAAAGGTTTTTATATTTTATTTTCTTTATTTAAATTTTATGTTTGGACTTTTACGTACATTATAAATATGTTAATTTGTTTTAGGAGGGACGAAGACCAAGACATAGTATGCTACCGAGAGATAATGAGAGAATGTCTTCTTATTATATGTCATATCAAGAGTATGTATATGATGAACCACATTCAGTTCCATCCCCAGTGCGGAACCATTTTACGAGGCAAGATGAATCTTCGTGCAATGTATCTTCTAGTGGTGGCTCCCACAGTAGAGGTGGACGAAGTGGGAAATCAAAATTAGAAGAGTTGGCAAAACGGTTATTTAAACTTGAACAACAGGTGTATAGGAAGCAAGAACACACTGAGGTGTTTGTGGAAGAAGTGGATGACGATGGTATATGGAACAACATAAATTTTGATGAACCGGGAAAATTTCGGACAAATATTTCTTTTGATGAAAAGGTTAGTGACACCCTACATTTATGATATAATTTGTTAATAAATATGTATATTTTTTAATAATTTAAACGTACTAATGTAGGTTTTAGATGATGGGGCTTGGACTATAAACAAAGTCGATGATAATGTTTTTGATAATAATGAAGCTGAAAAGGTTATTATGCATTATAATTATGATATAAATTGTAAATAATTATGTATATTGTTTGTTAATAATTATAATGTATTAATGTAGGTGTTAGACAAAAGGGGGCACGAAGGGGGCGGTGTACAAATCAATTCGATGATCATGTTTACGATTTTTCTGATAATGAAGATGAACATGTTATTATACTTACATTTATGATATTATTTGTTAATAAATACATACATTTTATTAATATAACGTATTAACATAGGTGTTAGATGAAGAGGTAATAATTACAGGTTCTACAAATCACTTTGATGATCATGTTTTTAATGATAATGAAGCTACACCCGATAGACCTAGGCTTCGTAATCCATCAAAGTGTAAGTGTACTCCATACACACAGGTATACATTAAAAGATAATATTGGAAGAATATTTTTTATGTCAAATTTTCAAAACATAATGATTTAAATGTTTGAAAATTGTTTTAGTTACACACGACACCAAAGCCAAACAACCCATGTTCCTCCTCCAACATTCGGTGTTCATCATGACTTTTCGGTTTTGCATCTGCAGCCTTATGTAGCAGGCGGTGAGGTTGTGTTACAAAACTATTTTTTTTTCTGCGTATAACGTGGAACACCGATTCTACAATTTTGTATTAGATAAAGAGGTTTGAAGTGCGTTGTTTGGGCGTACACACAACGGCTGGTTAGATCAAGCAGTAAGTATTTATAAATTTATGATTATAATTGATTTTTATTTATTAATTAATAACTAACATAACTTTCGCAGCATATGACGATTTGGATTAGACTGTTGATGGAGAGACGGTTTGAAACTGATCGGTATACAATAATGCCTCCAAATTTTTTTGTTTGCTATATGCTCGAAGATGGTTTTGATTGGAGGGCATTTATGTCTGGGATAGCTAAATACCCCAATTTTATGGTTCCTTGGTGGGATGTGGATACGGTATATTGTTAGTTTTATTGAACTTACTTTAATTAGTATCATTTTTTTATCGTAATATGAATAAATAATTACTTTATACACTTTGTACATGTTTACATGCCGATTCATTCATTTCCAAATCATTGGTTGTTTAGGGAACTAGGACTGGAGTCAATGGAAGTCTATCTTTATGACTGTCTCGGTAACAGTGCTTGTCAAAGATTTGAGTCAGATGGAACGTTTAGCAAATTTGAGGCTCGGGTGGAAAATTTTTTAGACAACATTAAATATTGGCAGAGGAGGAACATCCCAAGGATTCCATTGAATATGAAATTCATTTTGGAAAAAGAAGTTCCCCAACAAAGTGGCGAGTTGGATCAGACTAAGAGTAAGGAGCAGGAGAAATCATTAAGGAACCTTACCCTATCAAGAGCAGACATAAGAGGCTCGCTCGAACATCCGGAGTCGGGCTCTCTGTTATGAAGTAATGGAGACCAGTGACAAAACCCGAAGCATGATGGAGCGAAGATTCAACATATCTACGAGGAACAAGAACACCATACAGATGCCCGGAGACAACGGAAACTTTACAGCCGAAACTAGGACAATCATAACAAGGATAGAGATGCGGAGAAAACCACTCACGAGGCATGCGAGGTGACAGAGCACCTTATGCGTCACTCTAAGAATTTAATAAATTAATATATAACCTAGTGAGTTAGTGATTACACTACTCACACTATGTGTTAGGCTTATCGCCTCTCTCATCGCAACTTGTAATAATTAATCAAGCGATATACGCCATCCCAAAACCTATAAAACCCGGGCCAACTTACGGTTTGGATATCTATAATCTATTTGGGTAACTTAACATTTGTACAATACCTATTTCTACCATACATACATCATAGGGACGTAGGTCGAAAAATTGAGAATCGTACAACAAAACGTGAAATTTATATGTAAATATAAATAGATATAATACAACTAGAAATGACCATAGTTACTTACGAGCTCGCTTCTCATCATGAAACAGAATCATGTCTTTTCATGGAAATAACCAGCACACCAGCGAAACACCAATTCTACAGATAGACTCTGCAACCTTCCAAGCCGCTATAACAGCTGCCGTGACAGCTGTCATGGCGCAACTTAACGCCAACAACACAAACGAAAATGGAAACAGTGTCGACGATTCCAACCGTAGTAACAACCAAGGAAACCAACGAGTGAATACTTACAAGGACACCCCGAACCCCAAACCTAAGAACATGAAACGAAAGTTCGGGAACGAGAAAGGAGGCAG